CAAACAATTACATTAAGCCATTGGAAATCAACGATCGGGCTCGATATATGGTTACATTAAAATCAGTTTTAATTGTTTGCCTGACTGGCCATCGTAATCGGGCTCTTTGAAGATCCAAAAATCCACGGTTTTCTTACATTTCTGATCGGATTGGCAAAAACTTCAGAATTTTAATTGACCGCCGTTCAAACACAGCGTTGTTTTCCCCCAAAAGTGGGTGGGCCCGTATTTTTTGCCCGGAAGTGACGTAGGTGTTACTCTCATCTATACTAAATAAATGTATTATTTTTATTTGTTTAAACAAACATTTTTCGTGGTACAGAAAGTCACATGACAACGACCACATTTAGGTGTTTGAGGAACATAACATAGGTTAGTGTGATCAAATGTGTCTCAATCATCTTTAAAACTAAAATCCAACTAATGAACAAAATCTGGTAGGTTTTAGTCAAATTGGTAGCAAATATGAAGCCTTATTATATATATAAATAAATAAATACTACTTTTATGATTCAAACTTAGAAAAAGACACAAGACTTTCTTTGTGTAAATAATAATGTTTTTGCGGTACAAACAGCAAATATAAGTTTAAGTCAAAGAAAACAAATATTTCACAAACAGTGGAGTGATCAAATGTGTAAGCCCAAGGGGATTATACTTTAAACTTTTTAAATACGACGTTAGTTCAGAAATCAAATGTATCATTCAAACCTGGACGGCTTTTGGTGAAAATGTTCGTAACTACATAGCATAAGAAATGTAAAGCATTGTTATCTTATTCAGCTGAAGTGGCTGTACCTCCTCTCTCTTCAGCTTCTCTCTCTTCCTGATGAGCTCCAGCAGCAGGCGCGCTCGCTCCAGGTCGTGGCGGAGGCGGTGCCACTCCTTCAGCTGCTCCTTCAGCGCCTGATTCGTCTCCATGCGATTCTGCAGCGGACAAACCAACTTAATTGGAGCGGGCAGAGCGACATTAACAGGACAATGCTCCGCTATGTCGGCAGCACTGACCAACTTCCTGACTTTGGGAGGCTGAGGGTTGGCCTGCAGCCGGCGGATCAGCGGCACATTGTTCCTCGACTGCCTCTTCTGCACCCAGTAGCTCATTACTCGCTCCACGAAGACACGCTTCCTCTGGACCGCCACCTGGTTCAGGATGGTGTCGAAACTGATGGGGAAACAATGAAATGTTCTTCCATTAACACTTTTAATTAAAGAGCAACATTCTCTATATTCTAAGCTTTATATAATTGTTGGTTATATCTGCATTAACTCTGTTATGATGGTCAGACTGCTGTTTATTGACCCGTTAAACTCCTATTAAATGATTTCTGATCATTCCAGGTTTATACAGCATTATGTTGAACAGAAGTTCAGGGCCTACCTTGAAGCAGTGATACTGGGCCCAGTGTTGGTGGTGGTCTCAGGCTCTGCTTCTGGCTCCGCTCTTTTACTCTTCTTCTTCTTCTGCCAGCCTTTGCCCCGGTACTTCCCCCTCTTGTCGGCCCTCTTGTGGCAGGCTCCATTTTTGGGATGCGGCTTGTCGTAGATGGTGAGCGGCCGGCGGTCGCAGCCCTCGGGCGTGTGGCTGCAGCAGTAGGCGGTCTTTTTCACAGAGAAGGTGGCGGAGCCGGACGACGTCACTTCTTTGACGGGCTCCATCTTCATGTAGAGGCCGGCCCTCTGGGCGCAGCTGACATGGAAGGCGGTGTAACAGTTGATTTTGTCGCATTGAATGCACGCTCCTGCACTCTTCTCTTTACACAGGTAGCAGGTGAGCTTCCAGCGCGCCGGTGGAATGTTACGAACACCGTCGATGGGCTCGATGAAAACAGTGTCAGAGAAGCCGACCTCGGGCACCCACAGGGCGCATGCTACGTGACCCCAGCGGTCATCGTCGGTCTTCTTCATGGCTCCGCCTCTGTTGGGGCAGAAGACACACTCAGAAGGCCGCAACGGACGCTGCAGGCAGTGGCGGCACAGCCACTGGCCCTCGGGGATGTACGGCACGCCGTAGCACTCCTGATGCACGGCGATGTTGCAGGAGTCACAGAAGAGGATGACGTTACTGTCAGCTCCGTCTCCATCCATGCAGATGCAGCAAACAGCGTCTTCGTCCACCAGCGACTGCAGGTCGCTCTGACCCTGCGTAGCTGCGTACGACTCCTTCTCGAAGCGGTCCATGAGGAACTCAAACAGGTTGTGAGACACCTGACTGATGCCATCGTTCTTCCTCTTCTCATTGAAGAGCTCCAACCAGGTGTAGTCCTCCTCGTCCATATCGTACTCCACCTCCTCGTCCAACTCCTCCGCCGTCCTTTCCGTGTATTTGTAATACGCCGACGGCCTCCTGGGCACCACCGGAAGGTTGTATTCCACCGTTCTAACCTTTGCCTCCAACAGGCCGGTGGTGCTGCTGTGTGTGCTGGTGACCCCGTGTGAGGCCATGAGTGCAGCGTTCTTCTTCTGCTGGTTGTTTTTGAGGCGCACAGAGCGCACCAGGACCTGCTGGGGCTTCTCGTTGTTCTCCTTGTTGCTGTTGCACTCCATGATCTCCTGCGCCGTGGGGTCGTCGTCGGAGATGACGTCCATCTTGTCGTAGATGCTGAGCCGGTGAACGCGGCCGTCCACCTCCAGCTCTACAATTCTCTGCGCCTCTGCATATGTCAGCGTCTCGCGGTTTGGCGACGGCTTGATGGGAGAGGAATCTCTTTTCAGCACCGCAGGCCGGTGATGGCGAATTTTCTTCTTCATCATGAAGCCTAAAGACCCTGAAATCCAGAAAAACACTGAATGAAAGACGTGTAGGATGCTGTGGCAGCAACTGACAGCGTTTCCCATCATTAACTCTGCAGTACACATTTCACATTTCAAGTGTTACTCAACTGGCTTTAGATAAGCCAGTCCTTTATAAACATTATCAATGTTTTACTAATGCAGATAACCTCAAGGAGCTCATTGCAAAAGAGCTTATCATTAATTGACCATTCGTTATATGTTCTACTACCACAAAAGAAAAGGAAGCGTGGGGATTGGATAAAGTGCAACAGACAAGCCCGGAAACTTCTGTCCACACAGCCAGGCCAGCTGGAGCGAACTCCAGTGAGCACGGACCGACCGGGAGGGGAAGGAGAGCCAAGGTGGGAACCATGCTAACCCCCCCCTGCTAGGACCTCAAGCTTAGCAACCACTTAGACTGCTCCTGGATGATGGCTGGTTAGAGGAAAATAATATGGAAGAAATAAGAACCTGCTGTGACAGCTATGCAATTGACGGGCAGAACCCAGGACTCCAGTGAGGAAGGAGACAGACTGTGTTTACATTAACAATACCTGGCACACAAACAGGGTTGATGGTTAATGTTTCCCTGATGTTCATTTATTCCACATTGTTTTGGTAGCTGCCGGTTACATTCCTGATGATGCAAATTCAAAAAATGTGCTACTGTTCTGTAGAGTGTATTTCTTGCAGCACAAATGGACAGCACTGCATTTTGTTGTGCAACCATGACTCTTAGAAGGGAAATAAAGGATCCTTGGATGATACAACATGTTTAATATTGATCACCTTACCCAGAGAACAAGTCAAACTGTGTTTAACAAAGACTACACAACCAATGAATGATAGTCAGTGAACTCTGGGAGAGGTTTTTTGTTAAAACAGCAAAACCTTTTCCTTGGATAGAGAATGCAACAAAGTGCAAACACTAAAGTACAAAGGACAACTACCCTAAAGTTGTACTTCAGGATTTAGGTTTTATACTAGTTAACTACATTTCGACATATATTGGATCAATTCAGTTTCCTATAAGGTTGCAGGTTTTTATTATACAATACATTAATAACTTAAGGATTATAATTCAGTTATGTAGTATGCTTAATAGGACATTCTTCATAACAAGTACTTTGAGTAAGTTGATGTTAATACTTTTGTGTTTAAACTCAAAATTTTGAAAGCAGGAATACTACTTAGTACTTTAAAAGCCGGTGACATTTCCGATGCATGTCTTAAAAATATCTGAGTACCTTTTCCACCAGTGTGTGTGTGTGTGTGTGTGTGTGTGTGTGTGTGTGTGTGTGTGTGTGTCTCTTGCAACATCCCCTGCAACATTTAGCTTGTTCTACGTTATCTATCCATCTAGTATGTTGACAGCAGATGAAACAGAATGTGTCTACACAGCTGCGTTTTCCCCTTTATTGTGCAACTTAAACATAAACAGTATTGGACCGTTAGTGTACTCTGAGGTTCGGCTTTAATTCATGAGATCATGATGTCAGTTGGCTGCTGCAGAGTGTATTTAAAGGGGGCGGAAACGGATTGCCACTGCGATAGCGTTCACTTGATGAATGAAAGAAATGTGCCCAGAGCAACACACAACTCGTATCCGACTGCAGCGAGGCTCCGGCGGGCTCAGCTGCTCCGCCTGAAGCCGCAGAGAGCTGCTTGTTTTCGGGGAATGCTCGGCTAACAGCAGCTCGTTCGGTTTCTCTAGGTTGAATGGTATGCTAGCCACTAGCTACAGTTAGCTCCTCTTTAACCAAACCACAACGTTTATGTTCCCTTATTTCTAGTCACAGCTTTAACATGAAACACTCCAAACATGTTTGTTGGAAGAAAACACGACCAGGCGGTGTCCTTTCCTCGGTGTCCTCCCTCTCCTTTGGTCGGTTAAACGCATTAGGACACTCCGTCCACAAACTAGCCTGCTAGCATTACAGCTAACTGAAGGGGGGGAGGAAATATGGCGACAAACACAACAAGAAACTGCCTCTTTTTGGGTAAAATAAAGGCCTTTCTTCAGAGCAGCAATGCCTGGTTTTAGATGTAAACCAGCCCACACTGTTTGGGGGTGATAATAAAGACATGAGGGTGGAGTGAGACTGAACTTACCTCGGTATTTTCACGAATTCAGCTTATAAAAACAGCAGCAATGGCGGCGCGGCCTGCGGAGCGAAGCGGCAGTTAAATCCACATTCAGTCCGTTTATCATCCAACGGCTAGCGCTGAACCGAGTGCAGATGGAGAGAGAGCCACGGGTATCCAGGGCGAAGGAGCCGGTTCTCAGGGTTGTATATTTCGCTGTGCACAGGGTTATTACTGATGTGTAATAACGTGAAGAAACGGTCAGAAGCGGCAGAGCTCAGCGGCTGCCCGAGCTTCTCTTCCCCCAACAACAATGCGGTTGTGCGAGACCTTACGTCATGACGTCATAGCGTAAACCACAATGTGGGTACGCCGGGGGGCTTTTCCAGTTTGTAGTAAGTACTGTACATAAGCTGTGGTGTAAAGTAACTAAGTACATTGACTCAAGTACACCATTTTTTTGTACACTTGTACTTTATTTGAGTATTTCTACTCCACTATAATTCAGAGGTAAATAGTGTACTTTTACTCCACTATATGTATCTAGTCATTTAGTTACAGATATACTGTATATTAATGATAAACAATATGATCAACTCTTGAATCAGACTTTAGTTCCACCTGGAGTAAATCCACAATCTACCCTGCAGTATACAAAGTCATTCAAACTAGCTGCACCTTTACCAGCTTTGAGAACACTTTCATGATCAATCATTATAAAACATATGATATCTATTATTCTGAAATGGACCAATCTGCACAATGACTACTTTTACGTTTGGTACTTTAAGTATATTTAGATCCCAAAACATTGTAACTTTTACTTGATACACATTTTGTATGCAGGACTTTTACTTGTAACAGAGTATTCCTACACTCTTCAATTACTGTACTATGTATGTAGTTTAGTACTAAGTGATGAACTGGATGTATAAAATGTGTCCTCATTCTTAAGCTTAAACTCTTGGATCAGGGCAGGGCTGTTTATTAAGAAAAGCCTGAAGAAATGCATGACAGAAAAATAACATAATGCAGGGTTTAATTACACTGAAAATACCCCCATGTCGGTTCGCCTCAAAGAAATGACTTTATTGTTAAAATACAAAATAATTATAGTTCCTCAACCATGGTGGATGAAAGATTTGTCCAAAGATACTGGAACATAAAATCTGACAAATGTGGTAAACACGTACTCCCAGGACTTTAAAAATACCAAGTACAGCAAACAGTCCAGAGCATGTTTAGCCTAGCTTAGCACAAAGACTGGATGCAGGGAATGGCTAGCAGTCTTTATGCTAAGCTAAACATACTTGGGCCTCTGTAATGGACGGAACTGAAACAAATGTCTATCTTCTTGTCAGACAGAAAAGAAGAGACTCTCTCATAATATCAAACTGTTCCAAACTGTTGTAACTTTCCCCACAGATCAGCAGCTGTCAGGCGGATGAGTTGTACTCGGCTGTTGGACCCGTCTCTTCCTGGTTCTGGTCGGGACGTTTGGCATCTTCTCTGGACAGCAGGTTGTTTTTTCGGAGGTGGCAGGCCTGCTGGTAGGGGGGGCAGATCGGGGGCTGCGTGGGGGGGGTGTACTCGTACTGTTTACCAGAGTCCAGCTGAAGAATCAACAGGTGAGAGATTGGGATTACGGTACAATACAATAATGCTTTAAAGGTCCCCTATCATACTGTTTTTCATCAATATATTACAGGTCTCAGATATATACACAACATGTCTCTGATTGGCTGAAACACCAAACAGATCATTGCAGCATTACCCATAATCCCCTCTGTTTCAGCCCTGTTTCAAAAGAGTTGATTCTCTGTCTGTTACTTTAGATGAAAATAAGGAGCCCCTCCCCACGCCCCTCTGAGAGAGATTTGGTTACAAAGAACTCAATAGCCGCGTTCACACCGGAGTACTTTTCCCACTTTAGTTCCGATATAGTTCCGAAATGTCGCGTTCACACTAAAAAGAGCCGGAACTAAAATTAGTTAATGAGAACCTTTTTACCCCCTTTTCCGTCCCTGCTAGAGAGCAGGGACTCTCATGCGGCTCTCTTGTGAGAAAATAGCTATATTTCTGATTGGCTGGGCGGATTACAAACCACGCCCCGTAAAACAAAACAAAGTGTTGTGAAGCCGCCATTTTATTATCCTCGCATTAGCATTATTAGCATTAGCATTAGCCCAGCGCAGAAACGCAGAGAGACTAACTTATGGCAACACAAAATAAAACATGGGAGCGGTGGAGATGAGGAGGTGTCGGCGTTCTCGCGATTTACTCGGAATTCTTCAGTAGAAACATAAGTAATTTTCAAAAATGCTAAAAATATATGTTAATTGTTCATATTACTGTTCAAAATTATATAATATTATAAAGACAGAAATCACTTTAAAAATGCTTTAAAATATGTTTACTGTTGATATCACTGTTTAATATTGTGTTAAGAATGTTT